ATGTTACGGACCTGGACTCCCGGCGTGCGATTAGCGCCTGTGGTGGTCACGCAGCACTGCTGGTGGAGATGCGTAAATTCATGAAACGGCGGAGTGGTGGACTTGGTCCACTGTTCACATGCAGTCGTCTTGAGCTCCACCAGCAAGCCGTCAAAGCAACGGTCATGTCCAAGGAAGCTAGCATATCATTGCTCAAGGTCATCCTCTTGCAAGAAGTTGTCTCCGAAGGCAGAATTCTAGGCTATTCTCAGAGGGGTCTAATCCTCCTTGAGAGGGATGGCGATGGGTATCGCGTTTCAGTCCCATACCCATACTTGTTGAACCTGCTGCGCTTGCTGGATCGACCAAAACGTTTCGAGCACCTGGACTGGACTGGCAACACTCCAGCCAAGAACAGCTGGACTACGAAGGCATTCGAAGCTCTCTGTGCCGTTCGGATTGCTATCGAAATGGAGGACTTCCCCTACGATTCGCCATGTGATCCTCACAGTGTAGCGACCGCATTCAGAACAGAGAACAAGTCTCGCGTCTGCCTTGCAAAGCAACAGAACCAGGCAGGTGTGGACGCCATCGGAGTTCATGGTGATATGATGACTTTGTTGCAATGTAAATACCCTGAAATGGATTCCACAGTGCAAGAGTGGAAGGAGGTTGAGCAGTTCATGAATTTCACAGAAAAAACGGGTGTGAACTGGGCCAACTCAGCAGGGTGCAACCAAATCCGTGCCAGTTTTGCCACTGGGAGGGCACCTCGAGATTACACGTCCAGACGGCCAACTGAAATTGAAGTTGACGGTGTGCACATCTCTTACACAGTCTATGCGAAGACCGAGAACCGAAGAGGCTGTGCAATCAGGGCGATGCCGATCAGTACTTGGATCCCTGCCAGCATCATGTGCTTCTGACCGAGCTGCCTTGACCGTGGACCAAACGCCAAGACGAGGGCAGATGCAGTTTAATGAGTTGCAGGCGCATCGTCGCAAAACAGGATGTGCTGTGTTTTCTGCGTAAAAAGATGGTCGAGGTTGTGGCATCCGGCTCTAGCACTTGTTGTGAAGGTGCATGTGCATGTACACTTTGTTGAGGTGTGCAGCAATTGGATGTTAGAACTGTAAAGCTAAGGGTGCATCCTGGCATGCTTCTAAGGCTCGACCTTGTCTTGCCAATGTCAAGTTCGAGTCATCCTAGCCTACTTTCAGGAGGTCAAGGCAGTAAGTTCGAGTCGAGTGCTCACGTTTTCGGCCATCTTATGAACAAACTCCGAGCGTGCACGG